ATAAAATATGTACAGGTACATAATATTTACCTACAAAAAGAAAAACAAAAAATTTTCTTTAAAAAAACCGCAAAAATAACCTCAATTTCAAAATATTATGCATGTATACTACAAGTATTATACACCCATTTATACATGCATTTTTAATACAATAGGTCGTCGTTGTAACGACAAAACAACACGATTAAAATCACCTCATTTTATCAATTATTTAATAGGGAAATTCGAATGATTCTCTATGACATCATAATAATCAATACACTTTGAGGGGAAATAAAAAAAAAAGGTATAACATTATTTATTGTGCGGTAACAAAAAATTTACATTTATAAAAGTATATATGCATGTATGTATGTATGTTTATTCGGAAAATTGTAAACTGTAGCTGCCTTCTGAAATTCTATTCAGTTAACGGAAAACATACAATGTCAAGTGTCAAAAGGGTTGAACAATCAATTGCAATTATAACAGTTCTTTTTACATTTTATACGTATTTGCTTTTCAAATTTGTACACATAGGTATGTATATTATAAGTGCATGTGCACCAAATTAAATTATTTCTGCATGCAAATATATAAACACATACCTACATATACAAAAATAGGTATACAGATATTTAATTTTAAATTTTTGGCCATATTCCTGCTATTTAATTTTTAAATTTCTATTTTTGTCAAATAAATAAAATTTGTATAACAATTTTAACTTAACTTAATTTTTGGCAACTCAATTAATTTTAGTCTAGACATTTTACACTGATACTCGAAACACAATAAATTGATTTGTGCTTTCACTTAACTTTTTCAGAGTGATTGTTGCTTTACCATCATTGTACCTTTCAAATTTTTAACCATAGTTGTGTATGTATGTACTGTGAAATAATTATGATTTAGTAGAAAATAAGCGAAGCCGGCTTATGCTTAAATCCATTCATAAAATTTATTGGCATACTATATGTTTGTAGGTACTATATAATATGTTTGGGTATGTAAGTTTTTTATGGTGTTAGTGAAAATGAACATGTAAAACAAAAGAATTTCAATACGATAGGAGAACAACTCATATTTATGATATACACATATAAATAAATAGTAGAAATAAATATAGAACATAATTTAGTATAGAGATGGCAAACATAAAGAAATAAAATTTTGCTGTTGTATTGAAAGGGAATATTATAGTTAAGACTACTGGTTGATTTGGTTAGAAAAAATACTATGTACGTATGTGCAAATAAATAAAATTTAAAATATACATACATACATATTTTAATAAATATGTGCATTATTTGTTTTATGTGTATATACGCGTATGCTTGTATATAATTTTTTGAATTATCGCTTTCAAAATACTACCAGTTGAATTTGATATTTAAAACCTAAATTACCCAATATAAAAATAAAATTGAAAAGAAGACGAAATTATCCGAAGATTACACGAGCTATTTTACAAATGAATTTAAAACCCCAATTAATTCAATTAAAATATTTACGTGTAGTATCTCTTGTAGGCATTTCAATAACCAAGAACTTTATGTAGCACATTTATTTTTTTACATTCTACTAAATAAATTCTACTCTACTCTTTCTTACCTCACACTATACGTCTACTCTACACACGTATACACATTCTTTATATTCTCTACATAGCTTTTTAAAATCATAAAAGAGAAGAAAAAAATAGAAAAATAAAAAAAAAAAACAATGTAAGAAAATCAAAACAGAAAAGCATAAAAAAAAAGCAAAACAAAAATTCTTTCCGTATACGTATATGAGAGTGGCGCGAGATTTTCATCCAATGAAAATGCAAGGTCAGGAGAAATTTTCTTTAAATGTGTTTGTAATTTATTGTTTATTTTTTTCTGTTTTGTATTAATGTAAAATTATTAAAGGTATTTTATTACTAAAAAAAAATTCTTTGAATTAATTTTTAAAGGGAGAATATAATAAAATATAAAAATAAAATAATAAAAACAAAATAGAAGCAAAAATCAGCTGAAAGCATGTGCTTTTTACCCATTTAAAGCAAAGTAGAATATACGAGTACTTATGACAATTTATTTTTATTAATGATATTAAATTTTTTTTTTTTTTTCATTTTACTTATTTATTCATGTAGGTATATAAGTACATATACCGTTATTTCATTTTAGAGCAAATAGCTAAATTTTATCATTCTATTCCTACTTAAATTTTGTTTACTTAATATAATTAAGTAAATAAGTAAAAATAGAATGATTAAAATATTTTCATATGACAAATAAAATTCTCAAAATGTAAGAAAAATGTCAAACGATGGCATTTACTTTGAAAGGCACGCACTTAAATCTATAATCACTTAAATATTGTAAAAATGAATAGTTTTAATGCTATACATAGAATTCAATTAGGTACTTTTCCTTCGTATGTAATTACATAAATAAAACTATTGATTGTAATTAAAAAATAAAATTTTAAATTTTATTTTTGACATAACAAATTTTATTGAGCTCAGCATCAATCAGGTCCTCTCTCATACTACATTTCCCATAATTTCATGTTTTGCTTATTATTATGTGCAAATGCATGTACTTCTGTACATTTGGATGACTGACAATAGATGTCACTAATCCTACACACTATTCTAAATGTATATGAGAACAAATTCAATTGAAAATCAAATTAATTTCACTATTATTTCCGTATTGTACAATATAAAAATAAAAATGTTTACAATATTTATTATTTTAGTTAACAAAAGCAACACGTAACTACATACATACATATATGTATATGTATACGTACTTAAATAATTGAAATTGTTTTAAAATAATGTCAAAATACTTATAAGAAATTTAATTATGTACAGAAGTAGGTAAAATTTTTTATAAGTAAATTTTGTTTATTTGCGCAGTCATAACTACTTATATGTATATAGAGTGTCGGCAAATTGATTTTCTCATACCCAAAACAAAAAAAAAATATTTTCTTTTATCCAAAAAAAAAAAATTTTTTTTCGCGAATGCACAATTTTTAATGTCTAATACAAATTGTATGCATTGTATGTATAAATAAGTAATGGTGTCAATAATTTGTACTATTTTATAAATTATAAAAGGCAAAAATTCTAAATAACAAGAGACAATAATAAAATAAATTTTATACTACTTTTCAAGCAAATTATACTCTCGAGTACAAATTACACTCAATTGAGTGTGTGCTAATTCCAACAATTAAAATTTTAAATATTAATAAAATAAAAATTTGAGACAAATTGAAAAATATTTTTTTACTCACATTTTTTAGTTTCCATATTTGGGTTAAAAAAAATTTTCACTTCAGAATTCCTTTATTGGTAAGAAGTAGACAAAAAAAAAATTGTAAAATCTAGTTAAATTGCTGTTTTCTTTAACTTAATCCAAAATATTTCGTGTCACTGGTTATTTTCTGGTCTTAAAAAGCACCTCTTGTTGTTGTTTTTTTTTCAATTTTCTTTAATTATTTTTCAAAAAAATTTTGATTATAAAAACTTTGATGAGGTAGGTTTTAATTTTCTTCTATTAAAAATTTTTTTTCTCTTTTATTAATATTTATGTAGGTACATACAAACACACACACCCATGCATGCATATATAAAATGACTTTATGAATTAGAAAAAAATTTTCTTTTATTAAATTAAAGAACTTTTTTCTTTTGTTTTCTTTTTGTTATTTTTTTCTCCAAATATGAGTAGGATTTTGTTTAATTTTTACACTGTGATTTTCATTTCAAAAAAATTTCTTTTTTTTTTATTTAAATTTAAAATATTTTCTTAATTTAATTTAAATTTTATTTTTTTTTTCTCTCTTTTTTTAGAATAAATATTTTGGTTCCTTAAACTTCTACTAAATAAACCAAGTTATTTATGGCCAATAACGTCGCACAATACCAACAACTTTGCGGTTCGGTGAAAATATTTTTGTTTGATTACTGAAAAAAAAAAAAAAAATTTTTTATAACCACACAAACAAATGTATTGTGTACATACATTATAAGAAATTTGACATTTTAAAATGTTTTTGTGTTTTATTTTTTCCAATTATATGTATTTTTTGTTTTCTCTTTTACTCTTCTTATAGTTTACGTATCATAGAAAATTACGTATGATGAGTTTATTGTTTATGTTTTTATTAATTCAAAGAAGACAAAAAAAAACAAAATAGAGAAACAAAATTATTTTTTATTTTATTTTGATTATTGTTATTTTGTCATAATATAAGAATGTCAAAATTGATTTGAGTATGAAAACTTAGATGTCTCTGATGTGTTTCGTTTTATTGTTGAAAAATTCAGTTATAAGTGACGGGGTAATCGATTTTTGCGTAAGTGCACCATTTTTTGTTAGGAAATTTTTCGAATGATTAAAGCTACAGTATCTATTAGCCGTACACATGAACTAGTGCAATAACACGTTTGCAAAAATTATTGCGACACTGCGACAGCAAGAGTTGTACGAGATAACTTAAAAAAAACAATTCAAAGAAATCTACATATTTTTGTTTATATTTTTATTTTTTTTTATACTCTTAATTTTTCCCTTGAAATTATAATATAATGACTATTTTACTCGCAATTTTTATTTCCATTTTAAAAGTGACGTTTGTTATTCAATTGTTGAAGCATGTTGCAGCGACAAAATTTAAATTTTTCCAAATTCTACGACTTCTGCTTGGCGCTGCATTATAACCTATAACATTTAAGTCAGTATTTTGAATAATATTTTGATATTTTGTGCGTCATACTTGTATGAAAACAACCTCATTATTGCCTTAAAACAAGTTAATTAACTATCTAATCTAATAATATGTCATTCCACATTGATGTTCTATTCCACGTGAAAACCTCTGTTCGCAGAACATAAACTATGTACTCATCATATTATATCATACTTTAAAATTTTGTTCTAAGGGTTTTTTGTTTTGTATTCATTAGTGGCATCTTCAATTGACATTTATGATTTGCTGGTTTACTGGAGGAAAGATAAACAAATAACAAATAATTGATAAGCGCATTTTATATTTTATAAACAAAAAAGCTAAAAAGACACTTCCTTTTATAATCCAACGAGAAGAAAAATAATGTTTCAAATTGATCAATTTCGTTTAGATAATAAAGAAGTTATACATGATGTTACATATGATTACTATGGAAAAAGAGTAGCTACATGCTCAAGTGATCAGACAGTAAAAGTCAGTCACGTTAAAATCAGACAAAATTATTTAAGAGTTTTTCATTTAAAACTAATTTTTAATATATGTGTTTTATTTTAGATTTGGGATTTAGACGAAAATGATCAATGGTCTGTATCAGCTAGCTGGAAAACACATTCTGGTACAATATGGCGTATTTCGTGGGCACATCCAGAATTTGGTCAAGTAATTGCAACATGTTCATTTGATCGTACCGTTGCTATTTGGGAAGAAATTGTTGGTGAAAAACCTTCAACATCTAGTGGACAAACAAAACGTTGGGTGCGACGTGCTCAATTAACAGATTCAAGAACAAGTATAACAGATTGTAAATTTGCACCAAAAACATTAGGTTTAATGCTAGCAACAGCATCAACAGATGGTATAATAAGAATATATGAGGCACCAGATATGATGAATTTATCACAGTGGCCAGTACAACATGAAATTCCTTGTAAAGTTCCTTTAAGTTGTTTAACATGGAATAAATCTATGTATATGTTACATTCACCATTAATTGCTGCCGGAAGTGATGAAACATCATCTGCTGGCGGAAAAGTTTTTATATTTGAATATAGTGAAAACTCAAGAAAATGGTCTAAAATCGAAACAATTAATAGCATTTCTGAATCTGTTTATGATATTGCATTTGCACCAAATTTAGGACGAACTTATCATAGATTAGCTGTAGCTAGTAAAGATTTACATATATTAAATATTAAGCCAATAACGTAAGTAGTTACATTGATATCAAAATTTTTCTTAATTAAATACGTAACCATTTATAATATAAAAAATTTTAGTGAATCAACTGGATTGAGTCGTTTAGAAGTGCAAAGTGTTGCACAATTTAATGATCATTATTGTCAAGTATGGAGAGTATGTTGGAATATTACTGGTACAATGCTAGCATCGTCCGGCGATGATGGATGCATCAGAATTTGGAAAAGTACATTAAGTTTTATAATTATTATGTTCAATTATTTTTTTTATATATATTTTAGTGAATGATATTAAATCATGGATATGTTCTGATATTTTGAAAACGGAAGGTTTACATCCTCCATTAGAAACACCAACTGTTCAACATATGAGTACTGAAAATAATTCGAGTACACAACAATATAAAATTTATAAAAGAGGAAATATTATTACAAATGCAACTCAAGTGCCTTGGCATTAAACGATCTTACGTGAATAGTTTTGTATAAATAAAATCCGACCTATAGCTTTGTTTTTTTTTTTTAAACGAATTGTTAAACATATTGTTACTTAATAAGTTCATAATCTAATAAAAAATTAAGTACATTGCATTTTTCACGAATCGTACATAACCTTTGTTTTTGTCTTCTGGCCGTGTTTTATAGTAGAAAAGAGCAAAAATTTTGTTTTAGAATTTTCTTTTACTTGAAATAATCCAAACGTGGATAAGAAGAAATTTACGTGCTACTACATACATTCAATACAAGCAGGAAACTTACAAACTTGAATTCATTTGCTTTGATTCGTACTTTTATTTATATTCAATTATTAATTCTACACTTGGTTATTTCTTACTTTCTGTAAGTTTTGCAAATTGTATAAATAAACCCAAACATAATTGAAATTAAATTATATTAAATTTATTTTAGATTATTTTAGAAATTCAATGAGAAAATTTTCTTATTTAAGGTGATAATTGCTTCGGCTATAGACAACTCATTAAATTTTTGATTTTAATTACCTATCGTATACAATACAAAATTATATTTTACCATTTTATATCTAATCTTGATTACATACATGCATCTTATATAATAATTAGGAGTATAATGGTGTGGTAGCATTTTATTTTAACAATTATTATAATTGATTCACCTGCCGTTGTCGTCGTAAATTTTGATTTAATTTTTAATGTCAGGGCATATTTTCATTATCATCATCATTTACAATTATACCATTTCCATTGCAAATTGTAATTAAAAATTTTCTTAACATGCACATAAATACATGCAGGTATAATACTTATTACGTACATATATACTTATATACATTTATGTACGCCAGTTTTTGAAGAATATTGTTTAAATCGTTAAAAGATTTGCCTTAGTATTGGAAATGTTATGGTATTGATAATCGCATTCTGATGCATTCTGTTGCATAATTCTGATGATTTTTGTTATAAATTTCAAAAAAAAAAAGCAAGAAATTCAAAAATTTTTATCAGAAAATTACTTTTTATTTATCATAATTGAGCTCCTTGTTCTGATTTCTATGAATTTTTCTTTTATATTTATAATCAATTGAACCTGATCGTTAACTACCCCTACATATTGATATGCTACTGCTATAATTTATCCGATATATTTTATAATTTTTATTCTTTATTCAAGAATTCTTATTAAATAATGGCTGGGAAATAATTACTTTCGTGCAATTCACATTCTTTTTTATATTTATAATTAGTATGTAGAGTATATGTATATAGAATGGGATTATTTTTTTTTATGTGTATTCGATAATATTTAATAATTTCACTTTTATTAAAACCACCATTGAAAATTTTAATCATAATTTCAATCATTATCAAATTACTATTGCCATTATATGCACTGTATAACGGTAAATGTAATATTCATTTATCTTTATCATTTTTTGTGTTTATGTATGTAAAGGGTGATTTAGTAAAAATTTAGGAGCTATTAGGTAGACGGTCGAAAATGAGTAGAATTATAAATTAAAAATATAGAAATGAGTAGAATCAGAACATATAGTTTCAAATTAGAACCGTTTCGGGCATATAAAACCAAATAAATCAGCTTTTTTCTTTAAAGTCCTATAGTAGCCTCTTTGTTTACAATAGAAGTTACAAGGAAAAAAACTTAGGTATGCTAAAATTTCAATAAATTTTTTTTTTTAAATCCGAGCTACCGATTTACACTATATGTTCTGACGAAAAATTTTACTCGTTTTCGACCGTCTACCCTATGCTGTATGACTCTTAACTTGTTGCTAAATCATCCTGTATATGCAATTATCGGATGCAATTATATTCTACTTGTATGTTAATGCATTTTTGTTACTTGAAATTTTAATGTTTTAATTTTTGAATGGAATTTATTGTTATAATAATTTTTCAATCAGTAAATGCCTACATACCTACATATATGTATACAATTATGACAAAAAATACTCCGTGATTTAAACGTCATCTATTCGTTCGACATCTGCATACATACATTCATATACGAAATTGTGGCATTTTATTACTACTTGTGTTTGGTGGATTCAATTTATATTATTCTGCGTCTTTCTACATAATATTTGGTATACAATGAAAAATCATAATAATCATTTATCATTATTGAATTTTCATTATTATTATTATTACTGTTATTGATGCAATTTCGATGCATTTTATGATTTTTCATATATGGAATGAAAATTTTCAAAATCTTTGTCGCAGACAATTTCTTTCTTTTGAAAAATTTGAAATAAATTCACATTATGGGGTAGGAGGGTTATCTTTTAAGTGATTTCTTCATTCAAATCGATTTAAGCGCGCGTGTATATATAATGAAAAAAATGTGGATGAGAATTATTATGTTATATAAGTATAGGAAATAAATTATCAATTATGATTACATAGATTTTTACATGATTTATTAATGTTAATAGGTACATTTGACGATTATTTTATTTGTGATTTACTAATATAAGAATTAAAGCTTGAAATTTCTGTATAATTACGTGTATGTATAGTATAAAAAATTTGAGTAGATGTAATTATTATGTGGTGGAATGGATATTGTGTTGAATGAAACAAAAGAGTTTTTAATTAGAGTTATATTTTAATTTTAGAAGAAATTTCAAATAAATCAATGGTTATTATAGCTTAAAATGGAATATAAGAATTTAAAAGGGGTTGGTTCTTTTACTATTTCCATCTTTAACATGGAAGCTGAGAGGAGTAATTAAAAAATTGCATTCATTGCTTAACATTACGAATGATTTCTTTGGGTAAATTTTAATAGCGTTTAAAAATATTTTTAAATTTTTATAATTTATTATTTTTAATTTAAGAATTTATGAAATGTTAACAAAGCTACTTTAGCTACAATATTCCAATATCAAAATATTTTATCCTAAACTTATGCAATACAGGAAAAAATACAACTAGAAACTATTTCATCCGAGATTTATGCAATTATTTTTAAATAAAATTTGTAATTTTAAGTATCTATTCGAAATTTAAAAAATTAAAAGTTGTAGCTTTTATATCGGTTTGTTAGTGTTTGGATTATTGTTAGGATGCTCGAAACTTAATATGGCTCCATATAGGGTGATAAGGATTAAAGAAATAGAAAATAGTGGAAGATATTTTAGTTTCTTCGATTCTTTTCTCTAATTTTTGTGTTTGATATATTTGATTTTTCCGAACTGCTTTTCACTTTTTAGCTACATACAGTGTATCTCACATCTAGGCGCACTGCTGTTTAGGATTTCATGAGCAGACAAAACTTTTATGTGGGAATGAAGTTCACAACCTAACAGGTTCCGAGTTATAGAAGCTTAAAGTTAATCTCTACTGATTTTTTTTACTTTTTTAAATTTTAAGTGTATAAGTCCGTGTTTGTGGCTGGTATAACATGATTTTTGTATCTGTATAACACGGGAACGGAAAAAGTTCAACACAATTTCGCAAATTCCTTTTAAATTTTCTTTATATAAACATACTTTGAATCGAGATCAATCACTTTTTTTCAAACGTTATAAAATATTTAAGTTCAGAGTCACAATTTCAATGTAAAATAAAATTTTCATTCACAATATTAAAGATTTTTGTCAATTTAACAATAATTTAAAATTATCTTATAAGCAACATCATCAATTCATTATAAAAATTTTCGGTAATATTTCATTTTTAATATTCTATGAAAAAAAAAATTATTCATTTGGAAAAATAAATTTAGAACAGTTCCAAAAATCCCTTAAAAATCACAAAAAAAAAAATTAAAATTATCTTATTTGACATTTAACTCTTAACATTTTCGGTTAAGTATGTAAGGTGGGTACATAAGCAAAAAATATGATAAACCAACCGTATTGCTGATTCTATCCCTTACCATTATTGGATAAGTTGGGAAAAAAAATTGTTATAACAAATCCTTTTTCCTCTATATTTTATCATCATATTATTTTTTAATAGATCTGAATTTCATTTCATTTCTTATATTTACATAGAAATAATTTTTTAACAATATGCTCTTATACAAAATTTATTCCATATATACCTAAAAAAAAGGACCATAACAAGGTATGTAAGGTAAATTTGAAAATTTTCTTTCAGAACATAAAACAATAAATTTAAGGAATGAGAGTTTTGATTTTAAGTACATAGTTTGAAAATTTTTTGAAATTACCTGTTGGAAACAGAATAACGAAAAAGTAAGAAAAAGTAGAAAAAATAAAATAGGAAACATAATTTTTCTCTTGTTTCTGGAAGGATTAAAAGTAAGAGAAAACAAATGAATAAAAAAATTAAAAATGAAAATGAAAGGAAAAAAATTTTACGTTTTTTTTAGGTTTTTAATTTTAGGTAAGCAACGTGTAAGTTAGAATAAGGTATTCTAATAAATTTGCTATTTGGTTTTGGTAATAATGCTAATAAAGTGTTGGTAGCGTTAAATAAAAATTTGTCCCCTAATTTGCGATTGCCTAAATAATTACACGAGTTACGACTTAAAATATACCGAAATTATACCACGATAATTTTCGATTTAGTAAAATATTTGTCTAAAATCGAAATTTAAATTAAATTCGATTTGTCAAATCAAATATATTTGACAAATCGAATTTTAAGGCAAATTTCGGATAATTTTGTCAATTTATTAATCACATATCGGAAATGTAGTAAATTTACTATAACCGAATTATGTTACTGTTAAAATACAATCATAAATCACGTTATTCTCCCAAAACGTCATCAATTTGACGATCGTCTCAATCACTGATATTTTATAATTTACAAAATAAAACATAAATAAATGCAAAAAAAAAATCAAAAAATGAGTGTCACTTGCGTCAGTAACAATAACTGAAACTCATAATACTAACGTCAAAAAGGATTAGAATTCATGACCTTTGCAAATTGTGTGTAAATGACGTTTTGGGAAGTGCCTTTGTTTTATAACAGTTTTGACAACATTTTAAGAGAACTTTACTCTCTCTGGATTTTGTTCAAATTCAAATAGGAATTTTCGATATAATGATTGCTTAAATTTAATATTTGACTTCAATTCAGTAAATTTATACTTGTCAAATTGGTCCTACCTTTATTAA